CCTGTCTCTATTCCCTACCGGTACTGGTGCGTGCCATCAGTCCCGACTCAGCCAGCGAGTTCGGCCTCTACTGGCTCAGCGGTATCTGCCCGAGGCGTTGGGCGGGAAATGTCCTGAATTTGGCTCAGTGGTCCCCTTAGGACATGAGGTTCTTTTACGTGCCGTAAAGCTACGACACGGGACCCACGGCTTGAAGTCCCTCCCGGAGGACTTGTTCCCTGAATTTTTACGCCCTTAAAAATTCCACGACCTCCGCCGGGTTTGAACCCGCGTACCTTGAGTCATGAGGTGGGAACCTTACTCCTAGACTACGGAGGCAGCTAATTGCGTATCTAAGTTACACACAAAGAAGAATGGGACCTGACAGAAACTAGTTTCAGTCCAGGTATGAAGAGGCGTGTGACCCCGGCATGTTATGCTTTTTCCTTCACAGACTCAACACGTTCACATAGACAAGGGGAGGACTCCAAACAAGTTAACTGGATTTAAGTGGCATGCGAGAGTAAATATGTATCTAGAACTGCAACCAAAATATCTAGACATTCTAGACACATACTACACGAGATAATGTACTTACAGGGCGTTTCAAGGAAGGAACATGCTATTAGGATAATCTCAAACTTTTTTCTTCTTTAAAAAGTGGTGGTGTTTGACTAAATATTGAGATAAGAACAACTCAGAATATGATACCGATTCTAAATTATTCTGACACTGGCGATACTCAGAATTACTGGGGTTTTGAACTTTGTCCATCGTCCAGTATTCTAGAAAACTGAAAACACGGTGTTTCGGAAACTTGACCTGTTTCCGTCCTCACGTGAGGGGGAGACACACCTATTCTGCTGAATCCCTTATAAAGAGCTAACCTCATACCACATTGATGCAGGTCTTTCTACTGGACCCACCTGTATACGTGCCTCCATCCCCTACTTAAGAACGGAAACAGACCAGTTTCCGAAACGTCATGTTTTCTAGTTTCTAGAATATCGGACGATAGCATGTAGTATGTTTAAACACATTCTGAATTAAGCCTTCAAGAAGGCCAGTGAATTGCAACTTTCGATATGCCTATAAAGTATTCGGCATTTTGAATTTGTTTCATTTTTTGGCGTAAGTTTTAAAATTGATATTCTTATCATGTACTATTCAGACATCATACGGTCTTATACTAGAACAGTTAAGTGACCTCGTCAAATTCGCGGCGCCTGAAGGGCCCACTACATTCTCAAACGTAGGAGATTCAATTTGGCATGACGCTATTAAGAGCTTCAGGGATATTAGAGTAGACATGAATGGTGATCTGAAATAGAAAATGTGGAAGAAATTGTGGTATACTTGCAGGTGCTACAACTAAATTTCCCTACTGTAAATAGAAGTAAGACGTTTAAATGATTTGGAACATGAGCATACACGAGATTATAGAAAGCTTGCAACATTCCGGTCGAATAATCTGGTAGGGAAACTCATCTTGCAGTGTTATGTGTAGGATTACCTTGGAAGGTAACATTAACTGAAGCTTAAAAACATAAAGTTTATGTGCATCGGATTCGTTTGGTTCATGGTTGGGTTCAGTGGCGGGTTCTTGTGATCACAAA